GTAAGAGATCAGAAATCCGTATCAGGTGAAGGATGATTTCATAAGTGGATACCAGTTGGTCACAAATAAATACAGACAACACAAGAAAACTTCATCCCTGAACCAGAATGAATTTCTGAGACTTCCCCCTAATTAGAATGCCTCAAGAAGCACATCTCAGTAACTCTTTGATAGAAGCTTGGTCTGCTTTTAGAAAGGTAAAAGCAGGTCATTAGACTTAACAATCCATGTGATTTATTCCAATTTGCTGTGCTTCTGAAATCCCTTCTGCTGCAGTGGCAAGAATAAAGTTCCCATCTCCAAGTAAAAATGGCCTGGCTTCTTTCACAGAAAAAGACCCAGATCCATTCCAGGACAAAGCTGCCCAGACACACAATTACATGTTTCTGATGTTACCCAGTAGAGAGCAAAGAGACACTCTTAACAATTCTTTCCAGTCTTCATGACACACATATGCTATGGCTGTTGCATGCTCCAATGTGTCTGTTCCATGAGTTATGCTTTCATCACCTACCTAAAAAAAAACACACGCAATTTTTTTTCAGGCTTTGCATAATGATTAGTCACTAGAGTTTATTCAGAGGGGAAGGTGGAAGTCTGGTTAAAATGAGTGGAACTGTGAGCCACAGCAGGTGTGTTGCAAGTTGAAAACACTCATTCGGGTTTATGGTGCTCAATTGTGACAGTTTCATTTCATTCACTGAAACCCAGTGAAGCTTGCCAGGAACAAATAAACTGAGTAAGGGTATCAATAGGTATTTCATTGACAATCCACTAAGGAACACCTCATGCAAAATGCTGGTCTGTTTTTTTGGTTTTTTTTTCCAGGAGGAATAACAACGAAGTCTGTTATGTTCTCATTTGTGTGCAAGAACAATTTTCCAATTATCAGTCATGCACATTAAAGGCACTGTAAGATATATTATCAGCAGTGTGTGGGAAGGATGGTAAGCTGAAAGAATGTACCTATTTATGTATAAATACCAGCAGTACTTGAGGGTTTTCAAATTTGCTCATATAAATTTGCATTATGATTTATATAAGTGACAATACACACAGCTAAGGAGATTTCTGCAGTGGCCATATGCTGGTTTGACAGGATACAGAGACTGTATGGCTAGACAGTACATGAGAAATTTTTACAGCCTCTTCCTTTTCTCTCTCAGTTTCTTGCTCCTGTATTAAGAATTCTGGGGACACTTCAGTGTAGGCTGATCAAAAAGCTCTGCCTCCTATTGTGTGTACTTTCTTTTAACAGTGATCTATCTTTTGCAGCCTTATGACCCTTTCCCAAGTGGAGTTTACCTCTTGCTTTCTTGTTTGAAAAACAGGGGCCTCTTTTCTGGAGGTAACAGGGAAAAAAGGTAAAATCTTCCAATTGTCATTAAGGGAACTGGGAAGAGCTTCTCAGTGAATGAAGAGTGTGTGCAGACTGGGACTTCAGTCCAACTATCTGCTATCATAATAATTTTGATCTGGATATGCAGTGGTCACTTGAGTTATGCTGAGTATTAAGGTGAAGGGGAGGATTTCTGAATGTATCTCAGTAGCCACAGGATTAGTACATTACTTTGTAGATACCCAGGACACAATCTTACACTGACACCTGATTAGCCCCTGCAGCAAGCAATTACCAATTGCCTGTAGAAGATCGCCAGACTTTCTTCATATTTCTTGGACATTTAAGAAAGCGATTTTTTGATTGCAGAGAACTTGCACAACTTGAATAGGAGCAGTGTGCAGTCATAGGAAGGTCTGCAAGGACCAAATCAGTGTGGGCTTGCATAGCAGTACAGAATTTAATGGTGTGGTGAGGGACAGGTGTTAAGTGCTACAGAATTAATCCATTTAAATAGCTGACTTTGAGGAAAAAAAGACGTGCCAGTTGTTTGAGTCCAGTTTGTCAAGCTTGTTCCAAAAATCAAGCAGGATTTTTTAAATGGAGCTGTTTCTTCTACACTAGCATGAATGAGCATCTGCAGAATCAGGACCTGAGAATATAACAGTGAGTTTTTCATGCGCAGATTACTGACTAATCCAGAAAAATCTCATCCAGAAGAAAAGTAAATCTTGACTTTGCCACAGGCTCTACTGCGACCTAAGGGCAGTTATTTTATCTTCTCTGCTTTTGTCCCCACTCTGTCAAATGGTGATAAGATCATTTTATCTTAAAATGGAGTAATGATGATTAATATTAAGGATTATGACATGGTTAAATATTGTGGTAATAGAGGCTATTAAATACCTTAGACACTTCTATTCATTGGCTGCATTTCTAAAGTCAGTTATTGAGCATTTTTAATTTTCCCAATATTTAAGTATATTTAAGGAAATTAGTTGATTAATTAATAAACACTGCAAAATGTCACTGTCAAACTGCTTTGTGTTTTCTCTATTATGCAACTGGATGTTTTGTATCTTCATCTGAAGTCAGCTTACCTGCTCTTCTTCAGTGGTCCCTTCAATGACTGTAAAGCTGAAAATAGGGAGAAAGGGCAAATTTGTTATCTGTGGGAAACAGACTATGGTTACAAAAATCAGGGATTTTTGCATTTGTCACTTTAGGTCCTAGCTTCAGAAGTCAAAAAGAATTAAGGGACAGAAGTTGATTAAGGCATCTATGACCAGCTGGGCAATTTTTATGTCACACATCTAGGGAAATTAAACACACATTCTTGCTTAAATATAAAGAAAAAAATAATGAACAATGCATTGGACAGAGTCCTACCACCATAAGCAGTTCTAGATGGAGTCTGAAAAGATACATCAGGAGCTGATTCCTTATGTACACTTGCACCAGCCCTGAATCTCAGAGTGGCTGCTTGGGCACCTCAGCCCATGTGGGTCCATCCCCTCACCCAGCTGTGCTGCACAGAAGGGGCTCCTGAACCTGGGTCCCTGAGCCCTCCTATTTCAGGATGGCTGCAAAACAGTGCTGTTTCTTATCACCAAGGGAAATGTCACTCCGTTGCAAGGAGACCTTCTTTCTCTGGCATCCCTGCACACGGATGAGATCAGGTCTTTGCTGACTGTATAAGCAGCAAAAATTCTGCTCATGTTCATGGTAATAGCTGGACTGTCCTTTCTGTACCTCACATCATCCCTTGTCATCATGGGACTGTGGTAGAGTCTGTTGAACTGGAAACCTGATTTCTGATGTCTGCTGTTGTTGTTTTCATGAGGTGGTGGGCATCACCTAGGGGATCTGATGTTTTCACAATTAAAATCTCTTTCTGCAGACAGTATGTTTTTTCTTTCTCAAAAGAACAAAACACAAGAACTGGGATATGACCAGGATGGGTTTATTATTCAGGCATCTAGTGTTGTAGGTCAGTACTGACATAAGTCAAACTAAACCTGTATTTTATATTCAGGAGGGATTTTCATGAAGCACTAAGGCAGCACTTGGCACTGAGAAGGTCAAACTTAGTTGTGGAATCACTGGCTAGAGAGCACATTTGTGATAATTTGTATCAAACCCCCATATTTTTTGAAAAGCATTTTTCTCTCATATGACACCCAAAGAGGGTTATAAGTTTAGTACCTGCTTTCTTCAGTTCCCAGTAACAGGGCAAAACTCATCTGTGTCTGTTGTACCATCCCCTACGTATGCTGGCTGGGGCTGGCAACCTGAAGTATGTCTGAGGGTATGTTTGGGGTAGGAAGGGTGGGTCAGATTGCTTCTGACAGCCCTGAGTATATGAAGTGCTGGAACCGAGCATCCAGTATCTTGTAATCTCTAAGGTGTCTATCTGGGCATGTCAGGTAGAGTAGTGATAATGTCATTGCCTTCCTCTGATGTTAATTTATGAAACTGAGTTGCCCAAGGTTGATCAGGAAATATGTAGCTGCTCAAGGAGTTAAATTCAGGTTTTCTAAGTCCTTAATTATAGGACCATGTTTGTTTATATAGAGTTCCACTGACCATCATGTCAGCATGCGACATGATTGCAGCATTCAAGGCCAGGCTGGACGAAGTCTTGGGGGACATAGTTTAGTATGTGGTGTCCGTGCCCATGGCATCAGGACTGTGATATGAGATTTCCTTTGCAGTCTGTTAGACAGTGAACAAGAATGATGAATTAGTATATCTGCTTAATTTTATGAAGTGAGATTAGTGACAACCTTTGTGCGAAAGTTTTGAGATGTGTTGAAGCAGTGTGGGAAGCTGACACAAACACCAACAATGGCACATGCTCAGTAACTGGATATGTACAGAAAGCTGATAGTTGAGATTTTCCAGTGAACCCATTTAGCCAACAATAAACTACCAAAAAAATAGACAAGAAAGGCTCCTTGCAGTTTATAGGTATAAAGATGAAGATAAAGCCAGTTTATTTCAAATACTGTTGTGACAGAGAGGGGAAGCCAGGCAGTGCACAGTAGCCCCCAGCTGGTTGTTTATCAAGGTTTCTGGGTAGACTTCTACATCTTTACTCATAAGCAGTGGCTCCAATGAAAACTGAATGGCAAGAGGCAGATTTCCCTCTGGATAAGTCTTCATCTGGGACTCTTCTGGATTATCACAGGATGCACATTACCAAGCACTGTCTTACAGCTGCAGCGGAGAAGCATTTTGTCTTTAACTTCCTTTGTCCTTCATAATAAACCTTTCCAGTAACCTGCAATTATGCCTGGGTTTTAGCTTCTCACTGCTGTTGGCTCCTGCAGTGCTGCCCCTCGTCCTGCTAGCTTTCACTGATTGTTGTTGCTGTTGTCACTCACATGTCCTTTAAGAAAGTATCTGTCAAAGCTCTGTCCATCTACGAACCGCGTGATGGACCCGAGACGTTCATTAGTGTCGCTTGCCAAAAGGTTTATGTAACAGATGTTGCAAAGCAGACGCAGAGAAACACACACACACTCACACACCATTATTGCAAGGGCTGTCAGAGTGACAGTAAAGGGAGGATGGTCTGCAGGACTAAAGTAGCTTGAAGGCATAGCTGCATCTGTTAAAAAACAACTAACGTCTCTGTGTGGCCATGCTTTATTTTCAGCTTGTCATCATGGCTGGGACTGTTCTGCTCGCCTACTACTTTGAGTGCACCGATACTTTTCAGGTGCACATTCAAGGTTTCTTCTGTCAGGATGGCAATTTGATGAAACCATACCCTGGGACAGAGGATGAGAGCTTCATTTCACCTCTCATGCTCTACTGTGTGCTGGCTTCAACTCCAACAGCTATTGTAAGTATAAGAAATTATTCGAATTCTCCACGACTGCTCCATAAACAGCAAAAATAGTCCTATAATATCTCTGTCCCCGTTCCTCTTTTTTTAAACTATGTAATTGATTTACACTTAGTCAGGTCTCTGTTTTGCCTTAGCCTAATGTGGTCTTCATCAGTTATCTCCAAAAGTGATTATTCTGAGGTAATCACAGTGCAAGATTGAGGGGTAGAGCTTGTTAAGCTTTTTACAATAAGGTGCTCACTTCAGTGATTAGTTGTGAATTGCTTGGGCTTCAGAGAGGCTGTAATGCAACAGTTATGTATTACTGGAAATAAGAAAATAGGATAAAGCTGAGCAAAACCTGGGTTGGACATTTAGTATATCCAGGATTATTTGCTGCTATTTTATAAGTACTGTTGAAGGGCTTTAAAATGCTTAGATCAGCAGAAAAATGCTCAAAACAAAAATAAGAATGATATTTCCTTTTTATTTATAATCTCTTTATTTCTGGCAGTCACATCCTTTTAATTATTTTTTACCTGATTTTCTTTACTATCCAACCAGTAAGTTGTAATGTAGCTGTTCTGACGAGAACAGCTGAAAGTATTCAATTAGCTGAGTACATACAATTCCAAACAGATCATTGCAGTCACTGATTAGCAAAACTTTGGCCCTTTTCCATTTTCTGTGGAAAGTTGCAAATTTCACATATAGCCAGCTTTCCTGCATTCGTAATTACATCTATAAATTCCTGTCATACTGTGTCTTTATGTACTTCATTTTATTTCTCTTTATTTCTTTTGTCTTCAGTATTTCTTTCTTGTATTAAACTTTGGTTTGCATCCCTTTCAAAAGTTGATTAAAGCTGTATGTGATGTATTTAATTGTGAAAGGTGAATGCTGCATCATAGTCCATTTTAAGTTTTGGTCTGCAGTAACTTTAATGCATGAAACAGTCTAACAGAGAATGTGGTAAGAAATGTGAAAACAATTTGCAAAAGAGGCTACAGTTTTTCATACAGGACACTTCAGTATCAGCTAAAACAAATGTGGTCAGGAACAGCACAGGGCTCTTTGCACCATGCTTTTTGTGTGATATTTGGGTATAGCTTCAAGGAGACAACAGATGAAACTTCCCTGGGAAAACATTTTTCTCTCCATTTTTAATGTAGTATGTTTTACTACATTATTTAATGCAGTATGTTTTACTACAGTATTTAATGCATTATTTGCATTATTTGTATTATTGTTGTAGTATTAATTATTTGTTGTATTATTGGACTAATCCTCAACCAGAGCATATGACCGAGGGATCTTTTTCTGTCCTCCTGACTGGCACTCAGCACAGTGTTTTTATATGAGTAATTTCATATTATTTCCCATTCCCATCTTTTTCTGAGAAACTTTCCTCTCCCTGCACACTAATTTCAAACTCTGCTTCAGCTAGTAGCTGACTCTGCAGACTGAGTTTTGGCAATGATCATTAATACAAAGCTAGTAAATGAGACAGCTTGTTCAGAGTCTTCCTAAACTTCCGTCCTTGCATTGCACTGTTGATCAGACCACCATTAGCATCTTCAGCTGTCGTCTGGTACCTGTATGGGTGCTGCCTGTCATTTCGACTGTCACAGTCTGGGAAGAGATGTTTGATCCAGCTGAATCTCCCCAGGGATTCCAGTGAAAGGAGTTCCTGCAGCCCTTTCTATTTATATGGTGATGATTGCACTCTCTGTCAAAACAAAAACAAACAAACAAACAAAAAAAAAACCCCAAAAAAACAAACCCCAACCAAAAACTAGAACAACAAGAAAGCAAACAGACCAAAAAGAAAAAGAACCCACACAGCTGTGCTTCATGGGAGGGTGCTTTGCCTGCATCCACTGTGGGTTAAGTTGTAGTTTTGCTATCTACACTTTGCTCTCAAGAATAATGACATCCTGCAGCTCCACTGTGAAGAGGTGACTTAAGTGAAAGGTAATGCTAATCCATCCTTACAATTACTAGTTTCTCCTCTGCAAGACACTTGGTGTTTCACTTTCTGGCAGCAAATGGTTGGCTTGGCTAAGAGGATTTACAGTAGCAAGTCTGGTGCCTCTGTGCTCCCAGCATATTTCCACTGCCTGACGTCTCATGCCATGAGAGGTGCGATTATTAGAAGGGGTGGAAGCCTGCAGCAATGTGGGAGCACTCATGGTACACAGTTAATAGTGTTTCTGGAGCTATGGGAAATAATCTAGAAGTACAAGCTCCTTCACCTGAGACACAAGCAGTATTTAAGTACAGTCTTGTGTGCACAGGCCTGGAGAAGACTCAAAGCCCTGATTTCAGCATAACTACGAGGCGTTACAATGCTTGCAGGCCAAGAGGGAGCATCTTTGTGAATTTAATGGAATATCTTTGTGTCGCAGTCATTTGGCTATGACAGTGGCCATGGGGAAAACTAATACATGTACTTTATTTCTTCCCTGACAACACATCTCTGAAGTGCTGTTGTGGGTTGGTGCCACTGTATGTGCATTTCCCTGCATTTTTAGCAGCAAAATAAATAAGACCAGCCTGGTTTTCTGGAGTTTTATTTGTTGTTCTTGAAATGTGTGATGCTGTTGACTCTTTTTAACCTTTTTTAAATGCTACACTGGGTAGTTAACCATTATACAGTCAGGATTATAAAAGGCTTTTAATGCTCCTACTAATAACCTTAGTCTCTGATAATGAGAGTTTCTTGAAAGGAGAGATGCTCAAATCTTATGACAACACTGTTAAATAAATGAAAATCATGTATGGCCAACTCTGTTCTGTGAAATGCATTTTTCTCGAAAATGTTCCACTGAGGATAGGTCAAAGGCTTTCATCTGCTTTATTCATTTTTAATTTTCTGAGTGTGGTGTTATTAGCATCTTTGCATCAAAGTAGTAGAATACGGTGAATTCAGTAATAAATTGCACTTACATAAGGAAAAAACTCATTTTCATTGTAAAGAATGGCCTTTTTTTTCATATTTAGTGATAAGTGGTCATTTTATTTCATATTTAGTGATTTATCCCTTGAAACATATATCTTCAGACACAATAAGTAAATTTTGCTGTTGACAATGATAGAAAAGGGATATTCCTGAAATCCTGCCTGTTTTGAAGTGAACTTCTATTTATCTGTAGGATCAGGTGCCATGAAGAGCTTCGTGAGATAGGTATGATCTTCATCTCATGCCAGTTGTCTGTAATGCCCTCCCTTTGTATTTCTCAGATACTTTCCCCTCCTTGCAGGCTGATTTCAGTTGTACTGACATTGTTGGCGGTTTGTTATTAATAACTGCTGATTTGTTATTAATAACTGCTGAATTTTCAGCGTTCCTGATGTCATGCTGAGATGGCTATGGGAATGGTTTCAGTTTGTCTCCCAGCAATGTAGAAACTATGGTTACATCATTTTGCAGACAGAATATACCATCCTTGACAGTCATGGCAAGCACTTGGATACTGTAGCTACCAGGAGTCTCTGGGGGCTCAGGGAAGGGGCATGAGAAGAAAGATACTTGTCTCTGTGGCTTGCAAGAATAGCACAGGACTTTGATCTTGGCCTCTGTTGCACTTCAAATGGTCGAGAGTTTCCAACTTTAAAAAAGATGCTTTTGGTTTGGGCTTCAGGTGCCCTACAGCAAAATGTCTGCATGTCTGGATAGCTGATCTTTGCATTACAAAAATTCAGAGACAGTCTCTCATTTTGGTGGCTGTAAGTCCTTCAGGAAGGGAGAAATTAGCCAGAGAATAATTGCCCCCTGTTTTGTTCTTTTTTCCTTTTCAGAGTTGGAGGTGTTAGAATGCAGACCTTTTCCTGGAGGTAAACATGGTGTAGGTATTTTACTCAGCCGTTTCTGTGGTGATAGGGAACATAACATAAAAATTCAGAGCAGCTTGTGAGTTTGAGCACCAGAGCTTGAGTTTCATGATCCTATGTCTGGAGAATTTAAAAGTGACCTATCACACAGCAGCAAGTTATGTAGAGGCTGGGAGAATGCATATGCACTGTCAATTCCAAAATGTTAAGGCAGGAAGGGGTAAGAAGTAGTAATTATTTTTTTTGCCAGTATGAGAACTTTATCAAAACAAGTTGCTTTGCATAAACATAAAATTTTAAAGCCATTTCCTTAAAAATATTCTGGGATGACTCTACCACGTTTATTAGTGTCCCTCAGAATTAGCTTTCCCTGTTAACCAGGTTACTGCAAATCAGCCAATTCCCCAGCTGGTACTAAACAACCCTCCCAGTTGAAAGCTGCTGCCTGCACTCCTCCATCCATTGTGATTTGACTGCCTGCCCAAAAGAAGCAGAAAGGCTTAGGAACAGAGCCAGCTCACTGAAATGAATACTGAGCAGCAGCAGAGAGCTTCAAGGACACCGCTCTTTGTGTCCGTAAAGTAGAATAGAATGTGGCACTACAGTTTTCACACAACCTTCAGTTTCGTCCCTTCTGTTTCGAGGTTGGAAGTGGCAGCCTACATGTAATTATTAACTGGCCAGTGCTAGTAATCTGTGCAAAGAAGTATTTGTTTTTGGACAATGTTGGAATCAGTCAAACTGAACTGGCCTGATTAACAATTAGAAAATTAATTATAGTATCTGAGGCAGGAGGAAAGTCTTCATATTTTTCTTTTCATCTGTACTTACCTTCCAAGCTTCAGAAATACTGTTCTTACAGATGGTTTTCCTATTCTCCGTGCCACATTGTTTCCTTGGCTTTGGCTTTGTACAGCCATGTCATTACAGTGATTTATTTCTAGAAGGGTAGGCAGAGAATTTCTGCCTGTGTTGGCTGATTCCCCTGTGGCAGCTCCTCAGCACATGACGGGAAAACCAAGAGGAACTAATGTAGCTCAGAGCTTTGTTACAGTAGCTTCTTACCAGCTTTTTCAGGCAGAAATCCCTAGGCTCTGCTGGTGACAGTGCTGCCGGAAAGCACATCGGGCTACAGACTCCTACCTGCCATACTTCACCGCTGTGTTTTCGTGGCAAGTTGG